GCTGGTAATTATTTCCGCTCCACTCTGTTTTGACCCCAGCTCCCCGGCTCGGCTTCCCCTGATCTCTGACCATGTTGTTTGTAATCGTAATCGAAGCTTGGCCTGTGTTTCTATGTCAGCCACATGCCGCTTGCCCGGAACCGCCCCCCGCCCCCCACCAATCCCCCCTCTCAAATGTGACCGGCGATCGATATGACAGCCGCTTGGTAATGATTATTCAGCGGTTCCTTTCGCATGCGATCCGCCTCGATCCGCTGACGCCGCCCATTCCGGCAACAAGGTCAGATTTAATAACAAAATATGAATTCGAAAAGGAAGTCCCATAACGGTCGGGCGAATTTTAGATACACTCGCTGACTTGAGTCTTTTATAGCTCTTATCTTAGCCAACTGATTGATTACGACTTTAACATAATATTTAGTACAAAAATATGTGACTATTCATCCACTACTAAGTGGCAACCATTTGGAATCATAATGATTATAATAAAGAATTATTAAACAAATAATAAACTATTTTTTACTGTAGTTTTAAAAATAATAGTGCTCTCAAGAAGGGTGATTAAAACGGTCAGGAAACAAGAAACACATACATCTAGAAAGTATTCGGTAATAAACTTGTTGAGCTAATCACACCTAGTGAGTAATGCCAAACCCATATAACCCTATAATCGTTGAAGAGAGGGTCATCATACTCACGATGTGCACAACGCGGCGTATGCGTATTATTGTATGTATTAGTAGTTATGTGCTTGTTTTGTTTTTTGCTGTTTCTGTTGCAGCGATTAAAACAATTGCCAGCTTGTGAAAGCATTTCCGTTGTACTAACTTCCCCACTGTCCCGCTTTCGCTTCCAAATATGAGTCATATCCATTAATCAGCCATTCTTTCTCCAATTCCAGAGCAAGCACCCAACGAACGGAAGCGCAATGCAAGTGGAGGCCAGCTATCCGAAATACGCCGGACGTGTGCCACCTCTGGACCTCTCGCAGGTGAATGCGGGTCAGGATTTGTGGGGCGGCAACGGTAGTGGCACGCCCTCCGCCAAACGCCACCTGCTGCACCATCCCTACCAAATGCTGGACAAGTGCCGCGGGGGAGTGACCCTGATCAGTGCCTCCTCCTCCTCCTCCTCCGATGACAACAACAATCGCCTGATGGGCGGCGAGGATGGAAACACCAGTCTACTACATCCCATGGGCTCCGATGGTCTGCCCTTGGATCCGCGAGACTGGACGCGGGCCGATGTGTGGAAGTGGCTCATCAACATGGCGGTGTCCGAGGGACTGGAAGTCACGGCCGAGCTGCCCCAGAAGTTCCCGATGAACGGCAAGGCCCTGTGCCTGATGAGCCTGGACATGTACCTGTGTCGCGTTCCCGTGGGCGGCAAGATGCTCTACCGCGACTTCCGGGTGCGACTTGCCCGGGCAATGGCCCTGCTCTCGTAGGTACCGCCACCGCCACCGTCACCGCCACCTCACGGATACGGATACCCACACCTCTCTGGTTGTATATATCTCTAGGATTTGGTTAGTCTAGCCTAGTTCTGCTAGTTGTAATGCCTAGTCGCTAGTGCTCTCGTTAGTTAGGTCTTAGCCATAATATCATGCATTTCAATGTTGTCAAAGATTGCTCCAGACTCCCATTTCATACGGAAGGAAGGCGAATGGAGTCGAATAAAATATAGAAAAGAGTGAAGTTAAAATGCTGTCCTATTAGTTATTTAAGTTCGCATCTGAAGAAAATATAAAATGAAATTTTATAACTGAACAAGTTGGTGTTTTTTTTGGAATCGAAAGGTAAAGGTAAAAATATAAATAACAATTTTTAAATGAACTAAGGTTCAAACACAAGAACTGCTCCGTACGGAAATCGTTAAAAAAAATTAAATATATAGGTAGAAAAAATCATTAACGAACATTAGAACACCGAATTTTATATTATTAAAAGAATATTTGCATGGTATGAAAAACTTAAACAAGTATATTTTTAAATTTTTTGATGAGAATTTTGTCGATTTATTTTGGCTAACAAATTATAAAACTTACTTATTCTTGCCATGCAAAATACTTTGAGTCGTTCTAGTGTCGTATTAGGTTATATCCTAAAGTTTGAAGAGATGAGTTTATTGATTTTGCCAATGGAGTACAAACATTAGGTGCATATTTCTCTAAATAAATTTGTATAATCGTTGACCAATTTATACCTATACTAATGTTCTATAAAATATATAATATAAAAATAAATATGTTGAATATTTTGGAATTAAGATTTTACACATAGCTTCCATGGGAACAATTGGAAAAATATGATATGAAAAAAGCATATGAAAAAAATTATAGCTCCGCTGTTTTTCAATTGTTTATTAATAGTTTATTATTTTAAAGTTACGGTTTTAATGTTATTATAATCTGACAAGCCGCCATTGGAACGATCAAAAAATGTAGCGGAAATTCATCAAAGTTTCGTTCTTGTTATACATACATTCGAAAGCATCGGAATGTTGTTGTGTTAAGGAATCTTAACTTTTGAAATAGCTTGTTTTCATTTATTTTTTTTTGATTATTGCAATGGGAGTTATATGATACAGTCGGACATGGCTAAATCAAATCGTCTGATTCCTTCACTGCGTTGCAAACTTTTGTCTGAAATTATTATAATAACTCTGCATGGGTAAATTTACTAAACCAATTTTTTTTCGAACAAAGAATAAATGTTTTTTAACTTACATACTTAATTCTTAAAAATTTAAAAAAAAATGAAAATGAACGAAAAGGGCCATTTTGCGCATGGCAATTGGTGCTAACCCCTTGGGTTTTTTGAATCTCTGATCTTTGCCCTCCTGTCCAGCGAAGTGTCTGCTAAGTAGTCCCAAAAAACCGATTCCGCACGGGTCTTTAGGAATACCGCTCTCTTTGGGACTTAATGTTCTGTTTATGTCTTTCACAATTCCCCCAGACGAACTCGCATTGACAAGTGAAATATACGCTTGCCCAATTAGCACATCATTAAGTCCCAACAAATGTTCTCAGATGAAAATTTGGACGGAAAGGGGTACGACGATGAACCCCACACTACTCACATTCACACACAGACAAGTGCAATAAACTCTTTGTTATTGCTGGCCAGAAGTTAGTGCTAACATTTGTTTAGGCGCAGGCCTTACATAGATCACCAGAAAGTGTTTATTTTCCTAAGTCTATTCTCGTGTGTTTGATTGTGTTTGATTAAAGAGGGTGGGGAAATGGGGGGGAAACTGGAGTTACTTCATAGTAAATAAGGGAAATCAAATAGCCAGAAAAGTATGGAAGTCAAATGAGGAAACCGGAGTTACTTCCCAGTAAACAATAATGTATTAGTACATAAATAAAGGAGAGAGATCACATTCATGTTTGGGTGTTAATTTAAAAACTGCTCACTATTTACTTTCAAGTAAAGAAAATATTAAAACATTCAAAATCTTGATTATTCTTTTTCATCATTCAAAAAGCGAATTTAATTAAAATGTCTTAAGTTTATAAGCACATTGAAATGTTCAATGTGGAAGATAAATTGTTTAACTGAAAAGGGGTTCATTATATCAAAGAACATAGTTATCTATATATTTAATAAGCATAAAAATGAAATGCGAATAGTTCATAGTTCTCAGAAAAAAAAGGAAAATCAAATAACCGAAAAAGCAGAACTCTTCCGGCAATTTACTTGTAATGGGTCCGAAATTTTCCCATTTAAATTCAGCTGTTGCAAAAAACGCAGCGGAACAATTATGACAATAAAAATAACAATAACGGATAACGATAATCAGCATCGGTAGTCAAATAGAACCCGGATAGATAGAAAGATACATCCGTGTGTTGGCGAGAGAGAGAGGGAGAGAGAGAGAGCGATGGCATATATACAAATTCAAAGCGCTCCATCCGCCCGTGCATCCGCTCATTTCATTTAGGTTTTTCTTTTTGTGCCTCCTATGAATGGGCAGATACACAGATGCATAGATACGCAGATACAGATACATTTGGATGCTCTTCCTGCTGCTGCTGCTTCTGCTTTTTCGCTCCATGTGGCTCATTGTCGCCGGGTTTTGTAAGTTTGCATTTAGTGCAGTTCGGTTGTCGGCTTTTCGGGAGCATCCGGGATGTAGTTAAAGGTAAAGGAAGTGAGACAAATGAGCCAGACCCGAGCTCCCTGGTCGGTTGTTACCTTGTAAAACAGAAACAGAAACCCAAACACAAACCGAGGCGGCAACAGATGTCGCAACCTGACACATGCCACGACCAGGGGCACAGTCCACGGTCATGTCCACCAGCTGACGCCTTTGCATCCGAAGAGCTCAAAAAGGGCGCAACAGGAATTTGAACTCCTATTACAATTCGGCAGAACCTGAATATCTACAATTTTGGGCAGGTCAAGTTAACTGTTCAACCAACCAAACCAATGGCAATACATTTAAGGGATCACATTTCGTGGAACTCTCATTTTGTATTTTATATTATTTTATAACAGTCGAATTTAACACAAAACATGGTAGTAAGGAGTGCACAAAATACAAGCTTATGAGATCAGGGCACCAATTTTCATTACTCGATTTTCTTTTTTACTTTTCTTAATTTACTACAACTATTTTTGAAATTATAAATTCATGTTTTTAGTTCATGAAAAGTGATCTTTATGGTAACACATTAGGAACTAAAACTAAAAAAAGTCGGATTTATAAGCTTTCAGTGTTCATTCGAATTCTAATCAAAGCGTTTCTAATTTCTTGTATATTTTAAAGATCATGAGTTTATCAGATAAGCCAGAATTATTTCATTGAACTTATGAAATGTTGATTATAAAAGCTTTGAAAAGTTTAATATTGAATTTTTAACATAGAGTTTTTAACATAAAATATACTTGTGTTATATTTTCTAAAAGAATCAAGGGTTTTTTTATCTTTTTAGTATTACCTAAGTTTTACAAAATTTCTTAAGCTCAAAAAACCAACAGTGCCTTGAGTTTGAAATCATAACAAAACGTTTTTAATTCCTCTCATAACAAGATATAATTGTGTAAAAATAGTTTTTACAAGAAGGACCAAATTTTAAAATGCAGTCAAGCAAAGCCTTTTTAAAGAGGTTTGTTGTGCTGAAATTGATATCTTGTTTTATTAGTATTTTTCCCACCTCAGTTTTATTCCCGTAAAGATCTACCAGTCGGCCAGTTCTTTATATATGACCTGCATATCGAAGCTACCACGGAACTCTTTTCAGCCGGCGTGTGATCATAGTTTAGTGATCGAACAGACCTTGGTTTCAGCCGTCGATGAGAAACTTTGTCCCTTGGAATATGCAAAAAGGCAGCGTGAAGCCCGTGAGATTCTTCTTAAGTCGCAAGAGAATCGTTATCTGCAGATGTGCCAAAGCCAGAATTCCGCGGACCAGGATGGTGTTCTAACTGATGAAGATGATGATGAGGATGGCAGAGAGCCAGTGCGTCTAAAATCAGAGATTTTGCTCACGGAATACCGGAGGCTGTACGAAGAACCCTCCAAAACGGCAATAATGGACACACTACCCTTGAAAGAGATCAGTAAATATGTGTTTTACTTTGCTAATGAGCTTATTTTATTTTGATTTAATTTGCTTAGAACAATACATGTCGCTGGCACTGAGTCTTTGCCTCGTGGCCGGCAGTGTGTTTATTTTGGTCGAGTGCGGCAACCATAACTATTTCCTATGACCGATTACCAAGATATAAAGACATATTGAACTGCGGCGAACACGACGAGCACAACAAAACGGCGAATCAAATAAATCATATAAAGACCGGGAAAATTGAGGAAATGCCGCTTATGTAAAGTAGAATATCCGCTGGCAGGCGAACGGAAGGCGAGGTGCGAAAACAATAAAAACGGACGGAAGTGGACAGGGACGGAAACCGACGACGGTTCCGTCGATCGTTATACTGTTTTCCGACCAATGCCGCATAATACCATAAACCACATAATACCACATTGACCAACCGGCTACCGGGCTTCGATGTTCGATGTTCGGTCTTCTGTCTTCTGTCTTTTGCCAATTTGTAGAAATGCTTTTTCCGCTTTTCCGGCGCCGTAATTGAATTTCGTTTCGGGTAGGAAATGACTAAGCCAAAAAGTCTTTTCACTCCGTCTTCAAGTGGCTGCTCGGTCGCAGGAAGCTCGATAGGATGGGTTTTCAATTGCATAAAACGAAAGACTCCAGAACTCCACAGCAATGTTATATTTTTTAATTAGTTCATTGCCTGCACTGGCGCGATATTTCCCACGAAACTCCGACTCCGTTGGGGTAAACAAATGAAGTGAATCAACAGAAAAAAAAAAACAGAAAAAAACATATTTATGGAAAGAGTTTTTGGAGCCACACACAATGCTGGGATAGCCACTTGTTGTTCGGTTCTCGTTTGTTTGTTCTGGTCCGAAAGAATATGCTAAACATGTTTGGGGCATCAGCATCAAAGAATTTATGATCCCAGCCCCTTATCGAACTGATGCACGAAGAAAACGCATCATTACGACCCACGCAGGTGACTCAGAGGAGGAGCGGATGCCATAAAGTATCCCAAGCTGAAATAAGGCGACGTTTTGGACACCATTAGTAGGTTTCAAAACGTTGAAAAAATACGAGACCCCTTGCCGAAAGGTCCCAAAGTATTTCTAAGCTTCGGGCGGTCCACAGCGGGAAAGTCAAATTCTGAAAGCGTAATTACTTAATTCCAAATTCAGATCTTATGTTGTGCCAGGCCCTCCCAGGGGGCCAAATTCTTACCGCTCACATTGGCGACTTCCGGCCGCGTTAGATGAAATAATACTTCTCAGCGAATTCAAGAGCACTTGAAGTTCAGCGGATTGGATTTCTGCGTTTTTTCTTCGGTTTTTTTTTTTTTTTTTTTTTGGGGGGCTCGGGTTCTTTCTCACTCCCACGCTCATGGGAGCTGGAAAAGCTGTGTGTGAATTGTTTTTTTTTTGAGGGAAATGCCCAAGACAAAAGTCTCAGGGCAGCTCAAGAAACTGTCATTGCCAGCAGAACCCACACACAAAGAGATACTGTGGCTGGGAAATTGTTGTGCATAGAGAGCGGTCTGATTGCCACACACCAGAAGAAGTTCATGGGAACGAACTTTGTGGCTCGGGTAAGTCAAGTGTGAAGGAACGAGGTGGCGGGGGGAGGTGGGGTCCAAGATTGTGAGGGGATAACATCCCCCCTCATTGCAACAAGTGCAGTCATCTATTAGATACGAGTACCAGCCATGAATACGATAATTAATGCGATCCTTCATTCATGATTCGCTCCTTGTACAAACGGCAATCAAGATGAAAACACCCTTTTACACAGAAACAAATGTTCATTTCGACAGCAGCAATTCAGAACTTTTAAAGAATGCGGCAATGATGTGTATTTAGTATTAACATTCCATTTTGAACTAATGAATCCTATTAATTCACATTAAGGGGTATTTTAGTCTAGAAGCTTGAATTTTAGGCCAAATTTCAAAGGAATCGATTAGGTAGAACTTGATATATCAGGTCCACCACCTCTAAAAAAGTAGTTTTGAGAAAAACGCGTTTGAAGATTAGGAAACGAATCTAAGGGCCCGGACTATGCGTCACCGAAGTGGCTGTGTCTCCAAAAATAATTAGAATTTTGAATAAATCCTTTTGGGACCATATTTTTGAAAGTCAAAACTAAATCGATTATTTTAAATTTCTAGACCACAAAACTCCCTTAACATCTTATCTATGTAATAATTCAACCGCATATAAATACAAGATAAAGTTATGTTTCTGCAACCAGACATAATTGCTAGAACGTATACAAAATATAATAATTCAACTTCGAGAAGAACCTATTGACCAAAAATTATTTATTTATACTTAATTGTAATCAAAGATGTTTTTTTTTTACTTTTTTGTAACTTTTACCGTATCTTAGAATATTGTGTATTTTTAGCTTAACTGAGTGGTTATTTTCGGAAATACCTTCAACCCTACCAAGATCCATAAAACTAGTACTACTAGAACTAGGAGAATTTTCCTCAATCTTAGTAATTTGTTAAAATTTTTGGATCATTTTAGTTTTCTGTTTGTAAAGCTGATACCATTACTTATGTTTAAAGTGGTCCTTATTAAAAAAATTCGGAAATTAAATTCAAAAAGACTCTTTTTTGCAAGTGTAGTTCATAAACTGCTCCAATCCGTACTCCCCCAATCTCCTGTACTTCCCATTCAATTGCTTGCTTATGCAAGGCAACGTGACTGTGTGGGCGTGTCATCACTTTCAATTTTGCGGCCAATTTGAGTGACACTTTCTGCCTGTTTGTCACGCCGCTTGCGTAGCCAAAGATTGTGGCACAAAGGGGCGGGGGGAGTGGCACCAGGCAGCAGGCAACAGGAGAAAGAGGGCTAGCAAGGAGGCCTAGAGACACAACTGTGTGTCTGCTCGTCGTCTGCCGCGCTTCCGTTTCCTGTGCATAAATTTTAATGAGCGAGCCAGATTCCCCTCCCCCGCCTCTTCAGTCAAGACAATATCAATTGAAGATAAGAAAATAAACAACAATAAAAAGTGAGCAGGAAAGGAAACCCTTGGCTTCGGCAGTGTCTCTTACCTTGACTTTCGCGAACCGTGCACAAAGTCACGGCAATGTTGGCCATAAATTGGCACAACCAGTTTTGGCCACGGGAGAAAACAAAAGAAAAGCCGAGCCGAGGCATTGGCCAAATGGATGAGGCTTTTACTGGCTTTCCCAACCATGAAATTTGCGCAAAAAGTACGTCAGCTGGAATGCAGGTGAGCAGACTGATCGACAGGTTGAGTATCTTGTAGGAAGAGCTGGGTAAAATATTTCGAAATACGAAGTTGTGATGTATTTTAAATAATACAAACAGTTTTTATATGTAGGTGCTGTTATATGAAACAAAAAATATGAAGAACTAAGAAAACTATGTTAAAAGTTTGGAAGAAAATCTTTAATGTAATTAAATTTGGCAATATTTTGTTATAGTAATATTTAAAGTTGTTTGTCTTTTTTTGTGCACCCCAAAGATAAAATTGTCTTTTTGTTAGAAAAATATTAGTTTTTAAGAGTATACAAAAATTGAAATAGAATAAAGTTTATAAGTACAAAAATAAATTTTTTATAATTTAAAATACAGCTTATCTAGGAAGCTCATATTTAAATTAACTGACCTTTAGCAGTTTTCTCTTTGTTTAAAAAGAAACATTTACTTTAAAAGCCCAAATTCCCCTATTTCGACACACTAATGGACCCCAGCTATTTTTCTGGATTCCAGCATACCCCAGGAGCTCTAGGACCCCCAGTTTTCTTCTCTCTTTCTTGCTCAGTCTTGGCCACACACCGCTCTGTCTTCAGTTGGCAATCGAAACTAGTTTTTCAGGTTCGGCGCATGGCTGATAACAACAATTGCAATGCACAGCGGACAGCGAACAACGGAGGACGGCGCATGCGCGCCAGTCTTGCATTCCTTCGACGGCTCTGGGTGCCCAGAACCCCCCTTCCCTTCGAGGCATTTGTGGAATTTTAATTGCGCAAAAACAGCGGAGAACCCAACTGCAATTGCAACTGATGCGCTGGGCCGAATTGGCTGTGGATGACGTTGAATGATGGTTAGTTGAAGGTTGGTTGCAAGTGAGAACATATCGCGTGATGGTGATAGATATAATGGCCCTGGACACAGTGCTCTTGGGAAGAGGAAGCCGGGGGGATCGCACATTGGCACCAGCCACGCCCCGACCCGAATCCCAAGACTGCCAGCCGCTGATTGCGCTGGCAAACAGAAACCAACCGACCAGAGCAGTCGCAGAGCAGAGCGCTCAGAAAAATGAGCCAGCATAAATAAACCAAGGCAAAGCGAAATAGAATAGACATTTGTATCTCTTGTTTGTGTCTGCCTCTGTCGCTGGTGTAATTGAAGTTGCAGAAAGCCAGAAAGCCAAATAGCCAAGCAGCCACAAAACCTAAACCTAAACCAAAGAGGAGAAGCAGAATAAGATGGGGTCTCCGACTCCGACTCCGTCGCCGTCTCCACGTAGCCAGTGGAGCGCGAGGCATGGCGCATACGGAAGCCATAAGCTGCAAGAGATTTCTCTTCGCTGGCCCCGCTCGACTTTCGGCGCTTCTGCTGGCTGTTGAACCCGCAGCGCACCACTGGAGCGCGATCTCCATCTGATGGTGATACTCCTCCTCCTCCTCCTGCTCATCCTCCTTGGCCAAATCACTTGCCCCGAAACGTGTTTAAGGATGCCATCGAAAATCAATCGCAGATGCAAAAAGGGAACACCGCCGAAAGGAAAGGAAAGATGCCCAGCACAAATAGCCGAAAATTACAGGAAGCAAAAGCACTTGCCGAAACGATCGAAAATCATTCAATTACGACAGCTGGCCCTGCATATAAATAATGGGCGTGTGCTTCCCGAAATATAATTAAGTAACCAACACAGAAGAAAAACAGATCAGTTCGGAAATGGTTCAAGTAAATCAAGTAAAATTAAAATCTGTTGGTGTTTTTTTAAGGCCAAGCCACATTAGGAATATGACAGTTTTTAAATTTTTGTATGTTTCTAATATTGATACATTTAAAAGTGTACATTTTAAAGAAAATATCACTCTTTTAATAAGCATACTGTTTATATTATTGTTATTCAAAAATATTTTTTTTTCAAATCAAACGATTATTATATGCTTAAAAATGTTTATATTAATACAATTGCGAAAATTATTTTTAAAATTAAACGGAATTGAAATTGTAATTACAAAAATAATATTAAAATATAGATATTACCGTCCTTAGTTGGTAAGAAAAAACTCAACAAGGTCAATAACAGGTGCATTCAATTATTACAGGATGCGGGTGCAAAAATTAGGGCAAATCAATTGAAGTCAGGCCCTTAGGGTCATTAAGTTATTTTCTGCTCCCTCATTCTGTTTACAATTTAAATTCAATAAGGGCGCCTAATGCACGCCTTTCAGCACTTACCAACACTTGGAAAAAACAAAGTTATCGATTAAACCAGTTTTGGTGCTCTAAATTTAGTACATTTTTGAAAGCTCTGAGGTATTTTCAACTAGACAAGAAACAGCCACACTTGCAACAAAAACAGAAGAAAAAAGAGGATAATGCGACGGATATAAACAAAGGAGCGTTAAAAAAACGTTTTTACACAAGATCGTGACACTATTTCAACGGGCAATGAGTTTCAATTTCTACGTGGAATCGTTCAATTCAACGTTGCAGTCGATTGCGCGACAAGTAGAGCAATTTGCTGGCGTTGCACTGAGAGCAGCTGTCGATCTGCGTGGAAATCTGGAATCGCTAACCGGCGATTTTCGTTGGGAGAACGGACCCATTGCCTTTACCGATTTGCAGGCTACGCTGCTGAAGGTTCTGATCATCCTGCTCCTGGGCACCTGCGTCCTAGCCGGCTATTCGTGGTCCGTCTACGGCCAAGTCATCACCGAGAAGTTTGTCAGGCCAAGTAAGAATCGGTTGGAAATCGGATTTCAGGGGTTTAAACGTTACAGTGATAATGTCATGCGTTTCAGGCACTCTTAAGGAAATCGAGGAGCTGAAATTGTCGGTGGCCAAGTTGAAGTTGCCCAAGGAACACTCGCCGCGCATCTAGAAACTATGTCGAAGATCAAGAAGTTCTTTTCGCGGAAGAAGGAGGAGGCGGCGGCCTTTAAGGTGCGTTCCGTCCTACTAAAACTATATAAATCAATTTGCTAATCGTAAAGTATTTTCACAGCTCAAGCTCACGGGCAGCTCGATGGGCGCAGGTCATAAGTTGAATTCCACCAAACAGGAGGCTCCTTCCAGCAGCTCCCGCCAAAAGTACGAGGCCTATGTGCCCCCCAAACGAAATGAACTGAGCAACGAGGCCAGGACAGCTGCAAATGCAGCATTGGCTCGCATTGACAAGAAGACCTCCAGGGATTTTAACACATCGCTGTCGGCTGTGAAGGCTCAGGCCAAGAGGGAACTGGAGGCAGAGCGTCGCCAGAAGGAGGAGGCGGAGGCCACGGCCTCGACCACCACCACGTCTACTTCCAGTTCCGGTGGTGACAATCGCAACCTGGCCTGCGAAGGCGTCTTTTTCCGCTGCCCCATGATAAGCGACGAGATTCTGCCCAAAAGCGTGTGGAAGGCCCGGATCAAGGAGTTCCTTTACCAGCAGCTGGAGGCCGATCGCGGCCTCACCGCCTGCCTGATCATCCACAATTGCAATGTCAAGGAGAAGGCCGACGAGTGCATTGCCACGCTTATCCGATATCTGGAGAACCTTATCAAGAATCCCGAGGAGGAAAAATTCTGCAAGATACGAATGTCCAACAAGATCTTCAGTGAAAAGGTGCGCTACGTGGAGGGTGCCGTGGATGTTCTTCAAGCCGCTGGCTTCAGTGAGGTGAAGATCGATGAGGAGCAATTCCTGCTGTGGACCCGAGAGCAGACCGAACAGGATCTTGACTTGCCCACGCTGGTGGAGGCTCTCAAGAACTCGGAGACCATTCCCCTGGAGCTGGATCGAAATATAAAGGTCCTGCTCCCATCGCAAGCACGGCGTGTGGTGCTTCCCGACGAATTCTACCGCCTGGCGCCGGAGGAGATCAAGAAGGAGCAGCAGCTGCGGTCGGAGGCCATTGCCCAGTCCCAGATGCTGAGGACCAAGGCTATGCGCGAACGCGAGGAGCAACGCAATTTGCGCATGTACCGATACGCTTTAGTTAGAGTCAAATTTCCCAATGGACTCTTTATACAAGTAAGTCAATACGATGATGATGTCATCCATGAGAAATTTTGGTTACAAGGTGAATCATTTCCAGGGTACTTTCAATGTGTACGAGAAAATAGCCGACGTGTTTGAGTTCGTGCAATCGTGCCTCGCAGACGAAAGCCTGGATTTTAGTTTGGTGGCCACTAGCGAGGGAAAACTGGGCGAGGAAGATCTGGAAAAGACATTATTCGACTGCAAGTAAGTGGAAGAAAACTATTGGTTATTCCTGTATAAATCAAATATTCGTTTGCACAGACTCATTCCCAACTCCTTGCTGCTGTTCAACGCAAATGGAGTGTCTGCCACCGAACAGGCGGATCTAAACTACTTAAAAGAAGATCTTCTGATGCTGGTTCAGGCTATGTAGACGTGCATTATCCCTAACTAATCAGCGGTACTGGTCCCTTATGTTGTAACGGAGCTGTTGTTATTTATTACCTTCAAATCTATTATTCAAAATCAATTATACGCACTTTACAAAAAAACTAGAAAAGACTTTTTAATAGTTTCAATTTTTAAACTTGAATGGCTCCGATTGAAGCATATTTGAATATATATTTGAAAACATATTTAAAATCTTTTGTTCAAGTCAAAACAAAAAAATTGATTAAATATATTTTTAAAAAGTGTCGGTTTAAAAACTAACTGGTATAATTTCCCGGTTACATGTTTATTATCTATCACCCTTTAAATCTTTTATTTAAAACTTATGCTCTTTCAAAAATTATAATTCAAAATGATTTTATATACTTTGAAATCAGTGTGCAGACAACAGCTGTTTGGTATCTTTTCAACGATGGTATTTCTGGAGGTATTTTGGGGATACCTGTGTGCGGTTCCACTAAACGCAAGAAATAAACAACATATTGCTGCTAGCAAGTAAAAATTAGCTAAAAACCAATAAATTATGAGCTTAAACAGAAAATTGTGAAGATATACGAAACGAGTGAAAATCGCGGAACCATTTGGTGCTATGTAAAAGTGAGTGTGTATGGTTTACCACCCAGAATCGTATGTTTCTAAAAACAATAACATAGGGCCAATTGGCTTTTGACTGTCGTATTTACAAATATTTAATGGTTGCTTATTCAGTTCAATTCGGGGGATGGAAAAGTAATAAATAATGTATTAATAACCGGGGCAAATGTTCCGCCTGCTTAGGAATTTTTCGGCAGCCTTTAATGCGGTCATTTCATCGCGTGGTTATTTGACGAGTTGCACATTGTAATTTCCCCCTCCCCGCTACTTTTTCTGAACATTATCGAATTATTTTTTGTGCTGCCCATGTGGGTGCAATTTGTAAATGTTATAACACTAATTAACCAGACAGCTCGATCGGAGGCCTGCCACATTTAAGGGTATTCCTAAAAACACCCTAGTTAAAAGTTCCTTTGCGAACCCAATCTTATTATTTTTAATACTCTTAAAATATTGCCGTCTAAGAATTTCATTTACAGGGTTGAACAGGTGATAAATCAACTTAAATGTCAAGTCTTTTAAAAAACATTTTAAAAGGCATTTTACGCAAACTAATCTTCAATTTTTCAGAATTGATTTCAGAAATATGGGCTTTTATATTTACAAAACTTTTATACATATGTACATACATACGTGTGTGCCACAGAAAATAGAAAAATCGTAATATCTTCGTTGTTTTTAAACTTACGCAATAAAACAGTAGTGTTTATTTATTTAAAGTTACCAAATATCTGCCAGCATAAATCTAACTCCCACCTCCGTTCTAATCAGAAGTATTTTTTATAGATGTGCTCCGAATAACATTTAATTTTAAAAAATTGTGTCATTTTGACAACAAAACTACCGTATTATTCAATACCGTTTCTGGTCTAAATAAGAAGAAAAATATAAAATAAGAGCCATGCAAGTATATTTTTTTTATAAATGCAAGGATATATTTGTTTAAAAAGGTCTTCTACTTTTTTTTATTTATTTTGCACTTATTCAACAATAAGTGAAAAATTCAATTTCTTACGTCGTTATTTAACCTATTAGGGGCTATAAAATCGTAACAAAAAAATATCGAAAATCCTACTCGGCCAATTATGGCGGTATGTTTTGTGAACAATTGGAATAACAAAATTATTCAAATCGGGCTAGTTTTTTTATAAAATATACTTTCGGGTAAACGCGTTTAAAGGTAAATTACGGTGTATAACTTTATTGAAATAGGTATCTTACGGTAAACCCTTTTGAAGCGCATTCCCTGATAATGAAGGAAAAAAATCGGATTTTTAAAACTGCGAGAGTAGAAGACCCCCTTCCATTATTGTTTATTTTTCTTTAAGTACACACTAAAAGTACAAAATTTGAAAACAAAATTTAAGAAATTTTTCCCTGAATGAAAATATTGTTTCACTAGATGATGATGTTGACTTATGCAACATTATTAAAATTAAATTGTGTGGAAATTTGTATGTTCATTTTTGACTGAGGAGACCCATATGATAACTTAATACTTACTTATGACATCAACGATTAAGAAACAAGATGTGATAAAATTTGTTTTTTGGTTCAATTCAACCATAAATATTTTTAGTTTACATACCTTTTACAAATATATTATGTGTAATTTTGTTGTTTTAAGAAAAATGTTATATCTGTACCTTCTTTAAAATTTTTCCACAAGAATCTTAAGCGGTTGTATAGGGTCTTAATGTTAGTCAATTAATTCCAATTCCGAAAAACTTAATCGAATAGCAAAGCTTCTCAGTTTCGCTTTCACCTAATTTTGTGGGAATAGAAAACTGGAACAGAGATGTTTATCTGTAGGCGGGTTTTTCAATTCCACTAAACAAACTGTTGCATTTAATGAACCAATTTTGCAGTTGGTCCGTACTGTCTATCAAAGCGGCATCAGAAACGGTAAAAACAAAAGTCGGGGGAGGAATACGAGATCTGGAATTGAGGATTGAGGATTGAGGAGTTGGCGGGACAGAAGCGGATGCTTCGCCCAAGCTCGGGGCACTGGCAATTTGGCGTAAATCTCGCTTGATCTTGGGAAAAAGTAAATAGGAAAGCACCCAAAATCAAACATTAATGAATCTTTTCGGCGAGGCTGCCAAGCTCAGGGCTTAAATTAATCCAAGCAATCGCGCCAAAGCGAAACACGCAGCCACGAGAAGGGAGCTGAAAAGCAAGAAAGCCAAATAAAAAGCAGCCAGAAAGCCAGAAAGCCAGACTGCAAGCCATCGCATAAATTGGCTGGAGCCAAGATTTCATTGTTGGCCATTGCTTATTATGGCCAGGCATCGGATCTAGGCCTTCATTAAACGGCCAAAAGCAGTAACTTCAGTTGCACCGAAAAAAAATGTCACCAAATTTTGTCATATATTCGAAACATTTTCATATTGAAAGTGGGACTGGCTCAAGAAAAATATTCTTAACTTTTCAAAGTTATTATATCATATCATATTGATATAGGAAATGTCCACAAACTTTATAAGAAGTTATACGTATTAAAAAAGGAATCCAATTATATTAAATTTAACGAATGTTGATTTAAATATTTAATAAAAGTTAACATTTCGTAAATATTTAAAAATAATTATTAATTTCATTGACATTTGTTTAATCCATAATATTTTTTTTATATCTATATTTTGGCACTCAAAAAAAGATTAAAATGGTTTATGATTTTATCGGGTCGAGTTATATAGACTTCGAGTTATTGAATTAATTGTACTTGTATTTTGTGTTGCCAAGAAAACAAGTTCGGTTTAATGAAATCTCAAATGAATCAATTTTGAGTTAAAGAAACTCGACTTTATGTATATTGTTAGGCTATTATTAAACTTATTTTTATGGAAAATATTTTTCATTTATATCTTGTATTAATTTTGGTTTTGCAACGTTAGGTTTCTCTGTGTAAAATTGAGCCTTAATTCAACTTTGGTCCGCCAAGCTAGTGCGTGAGATATGCATTATTTATCTAGCGAAATTTTTCTCATTGCTGCGGCAACTTGTTGCAGGCAGACTTCCTGGTTTGCCCAGCTGCGGCCACGATAGTCGGTGAAATTCCAAAATGATACGAATAGTTTGTTTCTGTCGGGAGATAGCGAGAAATATGTGGGACATCCTGAGGATCGTTGTATTGCTCGGTCTGTGGTCAATGGGCAATGGGCAATGGGCTTTGGGTTACGGATCACGGGTTGTAGGTTGCAACCTGCACGTGCCTCGCCACGCTGGACCGCCTGATTGAACGATTGAAAGATCATCACCCGGAGAAAGATCTGCCGGGATAATGATGATGATGAGGTGCAAATTGCCGCTGCCATTAAATTGCAAATCAACTTTCTGACTCCCGATTGCACTTCATTCTAAATTGTTTGCTCAACCAGCAGCTCAGCAGATCCTCCAGCGTTTGTACAAAAATTGCAAATCGAATTTGCCAATTGCCGGGATGCCGATGCCGATGTTGATGCAGATGCCTCGCTCCGCTCCACAACGGCTGATTTGTTTTTGTGGTTGCCACGAACCAACCGCACAACAGCAACAATCGCGTACCCGCCCTTTAACAAGCATTTAGCTTGCACCGCCGAGCTCGTGACCCATTCCCATACCCATACCCATACCCATTCCCATACCCAGACCCACTGCCATACCCACTGCCCAGAACTGCTCCTCCAATATGCTGGCAAGTTTATGACCCGACTCGAAATTGAAGTGGAAATCGGTTAGCAGTGGGTTCCCTTTTCGATTTGTTTTTATCGCTCCACGCAAGCGCCCTGCATTTACATATTTCTGCCTGCATTTGACCCCTGACCTCTGGGCCGGGGAAATGCGATCCCGAACGGTGACCAAGGCGACGGCAGCTGTGACCGGATTAGCTCACTCCTGGCGGAAATACTTCCCCTGTGACAACAACAGGGAAAAACAAACAAATAGCAATAATTAAGGCTTTTGCTTTAATTAACACTCTTGAACTTGGGCGATTGCTGGCATAGGAACAAGAAAGTAACTGCTATTCTGAACACTCGGAAACGGGGATACTCTACCTTTGAGTTCACTTCATACTACTAATAATAACTGAAACTTAAATGTTGTTAAAAACAAAATAACTTGAGTTTGAGATATATTTAATTATTGGCTAAGTAAGAATCAATTTAATCTGATAGGTTTTTATAAGAACCCCAAATATTTGGATGTCAATATTAGAAATTATACCATTAACAATAAGTATTGCAAATAAAATCTAGTGTAAAACCAATAACGTGTGCACCACATTTGCTGGTCTGAATTCAAGTCGTTAATTGGTCGTGTAAGTTCAGTTGAAAACGAAGAATAAAGTTGATAAAGTACATTGTTTCAAGTAGGTTCAAATAAATCATAATAATGTTTATTGTGTTAATACATTAACAATCTAAAATTGAAACAACTATTTTTTCTTATGTTTTAAACTATTTTGCAGTTCAAAAAAATAAACATTTTTTGTATTATTTAAATAGGAGCAAATCTCTCAACAAATTTTGTTTTTAAGTTTTAATTATGAATAGGATTTTGAAATGCTCCAGTTTACCCTTTCTTGGAACCTATCACAATTTGCAATCAAATAAGAACTTCCGGTCCACTCAGCGAGTGTTTTATGAATGAAAATCTTGTCTCATTGTCTCATCCAGCTCCCCATGAACTCCCCATCAGCGTTGTCCAGTCGCTGATGTCCATCGCCAGCGATCGTCACGCTCTTTGCCAATTAGTGCAATCAACTGCGTGCATGGTGGGTGCGGTTTTTGGAGCGGGATGCTGGAAAAGATGGGTGCTTCATTGGGTTGTGTTTGATCAGACCTCAACATAGGCAATTGCCAGGGAAATCTTACAAAGTTCACAACTTGATAAGATTAATTGACTGGCTCTCCCTTCTGTAAAAGCAGCTCAAAGTGTATAGTAAAGTGTACAAAAACATATTTGAGTTATGAAAAAATTGAAAAAATATTCTTTAAAAATAAGAACTTTAAGTTACAGAGTTGTTTTTACTTACGTGGGTTATTTGGCGAAGGATTAGGTATTAACGTGGTACATTCTTAATTGTTAGAGAAAAATATTGTTTTTGAATAAAATGTATACATTTGTTAATTATCCCTTATAATATTATAATGCTTGTTTACTTACGCATTCATTAAAATAATTCAAAAATAATTGGCTCATAAACTAACAATTTTATTATCAGCAGGATTAATGTAAAATATTTAACGCAATAGACAGGATCATAACTATTATTTTTGAAAAGAAAAACCCGGAAAGCTAGTTGCCAAAAACTTCATTTTGTTGAATAATAAAATCATCGATGATTAAACAACATAATTAAAATGCCCAGATATTGCAAAAGCCAAATGAAAATTTAATCAACTATCAGGACCAGCTTGTTCAATTTATACCGTATCCCCTGCAATAAACTTCCCCCCTCCGAACCTCTTGGATCTAACAACTTGCAGTCAATTTCAAATACATTTGCAATTTGTCAAATTTTGGTAGCCAGTGCCAAGATAAATTAATTTCGGCATCGATTTGATCGCTTGTCTCTGGTCATTTTGCATGGCCATAGACCGTGGATTGGGGGGAGGGGCGAGGGGCTGGCTTAGACCATGTTAGCCACAAGCCAACATGGCTTCGCTCATTGTAAATGTGCTTTAATGACCACCGGTCAGCAAATCTCATTTTTTGTCGAGGGACCGCATGCTGTTTCACACACACACACACACACACACACACACACACACACACACTCGCAGAAATAGAGGGGGGCGGGGAAGTGGCTTGGCAAAGATTTCTGGTACCTGGAAGCCCCCCCCCCAGACGCCCCTAGAGTCCATCACTGGCCAAAATAATGACCACTGTCCACATGGTGCAAAATTAGACATATTTTCTTCTTACTTCGGGTGCTATCTGCCGCCCCTCTTGCCGCTTTTCCACATCTTCGTTCACCTTTTGCATTTTCAACACCAAAAAGTTTTACATTCGGATTTTCCGCAACTGCTGAGAAAAATGACATTACAAATTGTGGGACATTTGTCTAATTAAATCCCAGCCTGCTCCAATAACGAGAGCTTAGATTACAATCTCACAGCGGTGCGTAATGGCTTTTGTGCCACCTTCGGGATGAAGCAGCAATTCAGGCAGAGGTATTCGTTGAAAAGGTTGCATTTTGGGATAAAAAGTTGGGAGATTGAGTAAGGAGATGGGGGGATACGAGTGAGTATTTTGTGCTCCAGTTTCAGATGGTCAACTCAAGTACTCCATTGGGGATTGGATGGCAAGAATAAAGCAGCTAAGTTAACTTTAAAATCAAATAAATTTAAAACTTTAATGAATCGAAGTTCTATAGCCCATCGAAATAAGTTTTAGTAAATGCGTTAAAAAATTACTTTTAAATTTTACTATTGGCAATACAAATTTTTTAAGAAAACCTTTTAACCGTACAAAAAATATAGTTTTTTTTGGAGATCCAGAAATGAGTAGATAACTAAAACAAAATAAAACTGGAGAATGAATGAATGCTGTAGCGTTTTAAGATCCGTGAATCTGGATTAATAATAGGACGTTTTCTCAAAAAAAAAAAGAAGTTAAATATTGAAATCTTAAATAATTAAAAATTAATAAATAATTACAATTAAAAATAGTGGGCTTGCTAGTATCTCGTACGAAATTATCCTTAACCATTATATCTTGTATGATTAAGTGGTCAAATGATTGGCCAAAATTAGATATATTTCTCTAAAAGATTTAGACTGCTATAAGTTATAAGCTATATAAGTTTTAGTTAATGCGTTAAAGTATTACTTTTAACTATGCTTTTACTTTCTATTAGCAATACAAATTTTTTGAAAACATTTTACATTATGAAAGCTCAACTGTAAATAATGTTCCGTACAAAAATATAGATTTTTTGGAGTTCAGACGTAAGTAGATATATAAAACAAAAATAAAACTGGATTTCTGAAAAATAGGTCGTTAAATAATGAAATCTTAAACAATAAAAAATTAACAAATGGTTATAATTATAAAAAAAATGGTCTTGCTAGTATATTGTAAGAATTATATCATGTATGATTAAGTGGTCAACTGATGGTCCCAAATTAGATCAATTTCTGTGCAAGATTTAGACTGCTACAACTCATAATTTTTTTATGGAAAACCCTTTGTGTTTTACTTTTATTAAATACAGCAAAGATAGGGGCCATCCCAAATGCATTTGCTGTACATAAAGCGCTGGCCACTGACCAATTAGGAAACCAAAAGAACTGCAACCCCAAGTGAACGAGTGACCACTTACCGAAGCGAGTGACAGTGGACCGGCATCTAATGAAATTAAGCCAAATTCGAAGAATAAACACTCCACTCATTGGCTATCAAACTCAAGTCACTCATCTAAAAATGCACTCAATGACCGACTGATAAGAACACGTGTTGCTCCATGCGCCGTCCCGCTCGCACCTCCCCAAGAGAGCGAAAGGGAGAGGCTCCAAGTCGGGGAGAGAGGCTCCGGAGAGCGAGCGCGAGAGAGCGCGTCGCAACGAGGGGTCCAATTAGGTTGCCGGCAGCAAGCATGCGCTCCCTTTCTGCCCAACGCAGGCTCAACTGGAAACTGTTCCAAAGGCTTTGGCGCTGGCGCTGCTCTTTTATTCTCGCCGAGTGTCTTTTCGACTTCGACTTGGACTTGCGGCTCAGTTGCTTTTCAGTCTCATTCCGGTTTGCTTCTCGTCGTCTCGCGGATAATTCAGCGCACTCGCTGACTAAGCTTAAAAAGTCCCTTAAAATCAAGAAAAAATTTAAAATTACAAGATTATAAAATCAAAAGTTTTTAAAGAAAAGTTGTCTATAAAAAACATTGTAAACAAATGCCGACGGCCTAGTGCAAACAGTGAAAGAAACCATCCCATAGATCCCATTTATGTGACTACAAATACTATAGAAACCCTTTTAAGTGCAGTGAGAAATTGCAAATCAATGTAAGTTCTAGAAGATTATGTTCTACAAATTAAATATATAAACTATGTAAAACATACCATTTAAACGCATAGAACACTTTTTTATATACCGATCAAGTGCAGTCAGATATCGAAAAGAAAGTTAGTTTTTTGAAGATAATTCCTAGGAAACCTTAGAAAACTAAAAAATACATTCAAATGTTTTGCAGATAAATCTAGGGGTTCTGTGGTATACAACAACAAAACAACAAAACAATAATTTAGCTAGAAGCCTTTAAAAATGTTTATTTAAAAGCCCTATCAAGTTCAGTTTGATACTGCAGATCAGGGTAAGTTGGAAAATCTTTAGAGGTTAAAGTAACACTCGCTGTTATAGTAACACTCTCTATAAGCCAACGAAAGTGAGTTGAATCTTTCTTGGGACCCATCCACTGCCCAGATTTGATTTCCCAGATTTAGACACGAGAATCACCAAAAAAAAATGCCTTCTTATCTCGCATTGCCAGAAGATCGTTAATATTTATGGGACGCTGCTAGAGGATGGGATCGGAGCTGCGAGGAGCTGATAAGCGGACGACGCTGATTATTCAGCAATATGCATCAGAGATCTATATTGTGTTGCCTCATTCAGAGCGGGATCCTCAGCGCCTTATCTTCGATTTTCCCGCCGGGTTTTCCCCGGCTATCGATCACTTTTCCTCGAAATTAATAACTTTTGTGAGAACAACTGGCAGCGAACAGGCGCACAGCGAAATCATGTTCGAGTGATTAAATTAATTAATGATATAGACACACTGCGCAATAGTGTCCACGCAACCGAAGCAGGCGATCTTCGTAGTGCAGATCTGCAGACTGGCGGTCCTGCAGCGACCAACGCCACATGATGCGGATCGCTGGGCCCAAATCTCTGGCCAGAACCCAGACTCTTGGCCAAGACTCAGTCTGAAGCCGCAGAGGCGAGCAGATCGTTGTCTTAACTTGTCGTACACGATGTCTTATACGTGTAGCAACAATTTATTTCGCCGGCCAATGGATCGATCGTCGGTGCAATCGTTGATCATGGACTCTGGGAAAAGGAGTCCGCGCCTCCGCTATCCCTGGCGATCAATCAAGCCCTCCTAGATGATCAATATTAGCTGGTCTAAAAATAATTTTACTCTGGCTATCTTCATCGATGGAAAAGATGAGGGAAGAACAAGAATCTAAATGGGGGTTCGTTTAAATTAAATCCGATAGCGAGCTACATTGCAGTGGGTTATTTAATATAAATTGAGCTAAACAAAAATATATTAATTGAAACAAGAAATGTTTTTAGTTGATCTTTTCTATTCTTATCAGTTAAGCCTCCATTTTAATTAACAATAAAAAAAACTATTAGGGTGTTAATCTTTTTAAATTATGGCAAAACATGAAAAATAAAAATAATCTGCACAATTTAACTGCAAATTAAGTGTTGAAAGTGTTTGTTTTCTTGAGTACAAAAAGAAAACTTATTTAAAAACACAAAAATATATTGTTAAAGATTAAACATTTTATAAGAATGTTTGTTTTTTTTTTTTTGTGGTGATTTATTGTAAATAAACACCCACTTGTTTATTTAAAAATATTTAAAATTCCCCGATAACCAAAGTGTAGATAAGTATAGACGGCATGAGTCAGATTGACTCTGTCAGTCCATTTCCGTCAAGTGTCGAAACATCTCATTTGGTTTGCCTTTAGGTTTGCTAAGACTTTACGACTTGTGTAATTAGTTTTTCCCTCGAAGATCTTTTATGGCGACCGACAGACTCCAAGGTGTATAGATGTGCTAACACCACTAACACCCTAGAGCCAAGCCGAAAAACTCTCTCTGTTACATTAAGTGTTCCAAAAAAGATGCCATTAAAAATTGGAGTAACTGTTTTTCCAACTAATATCTGTGTCCAAAGCGCTAATTGAAGGCAACATCACCACTTCGTAGGGGACTCTCCCAGCAGCCAGCAGCTAGCATCAGCTCCACCGGGTCAAGGGTCAAAGTTCTTTCAGTTTGTGTGTGATTTTCTCGAGATGGGGGCCGAAAAAGCGCTCCACTGACTGACGACAAGTGCCTGTACACCTCTTTCGAGTAAGCTGTCAAAGACAGCCTGCTTGCTGGCCTGGCCGAAGCTTGTTTACAGCCATCGATGCTGAATTAATTAAACTAACTCTCGCTGCACAATGCATAAC